GGAATTCCTGCCCCAATCCCTCAGGAATTCCCAGAATTCCAGCCCAATTCCCTCTGGAATTCCGGGATTCCTGCCCCAATCCCTTGGGAATTCCAGGAATTCCAGCCCCAATCCCTCTGGAATTCCTGCCCCAATCCCTCGGGAATTCCCGGAATTCCAGCCCAATTCCCATGGGAATTCCCGGAATTCCAGCCCCAATCCCTTGGGAATTCCAGGAATTCCAGCCCAAATCCCTCGGGAATTCCCGGAATTCCAGCCCCATCCCTCAGGAATTCCCAGGATTCCTGCCCCAATCCCTTGGGAATTCCCAGAATTCCGGCCCCATCCCTTGGGAATTCCTGTTTTTCCCTGCTCCATTCCCAGTGGGAATTCCCGGTTTTCCCCACCCCGTTCCCAGTGGGAATTCTGGTAGGAATTCCCACTTTTCCCTGCCCCATTCCCATGGGAATTCCTGTTTTTCCCAGCCCCATTCCAGGTGGGAATTCCCATTTTTCCCTGCCCCATTCCTGGCAGGAATCCCCAATTTCCCACTCCCCGTTCCCGCTGGGAATCCCGCTGGGAATCCCACTTTTCCCGTTGTTTTTCCCGCTGTTTTTCCCGTTTTTCCCGCTGTTTTTCCCGCTGTTTTTCCCATTTTTCCCGTTGTTTTTCCCACTGTTTTTCCCGTTTTTCCCGCTGTTTTTCCCGCTGTTTTTTCCCAGCACTTCGTGAGCGAGCGGAAGTTGGATGAGGAGCTGGGCCGGGCCGGGCGCTTCGGCTGCGACCTCGACGCCCTCAGGGGCAGCATCGGAGCCTTCGGACAGGGTGGGTCCGGAATTCCCGGAAAATCCCGGGAAAATCCCGGGAAAATCCCGCGGGAATGGGTCCTGGGAACGGCCCCGGCCTTTGGGTGAGGTGGGGCCAGAATTCCCGGAAAATCCCGGGAAAATCCTGGGAAAATCCCAGGAAAATCCCATGGGAATGGGTCCTGGGAACGGCCCCGGCCTTTGGGTGAGGTGGGTCTGGAATTCCGGGAAAATCCCAGGAAAATTCCGGGAAGATCCCATGGGAATGGGCCCTGGGAATGGCCCTGGCCTTTGGGTGAGGTGGGGCCAGAATTCCCGGAATTCCCATTAATCCCATTAATCCCACTCATTCCTGGAATTCCCATCAATCCCACTCATTCCCGGAATTCCCATCAATCCCACTCATTCCCGGAATTCCCATTAATCCCATTAATCCCATTAATCATTCCCGGAATTCCCAGAATTCCCGCTGATCCCAATCATTCCCAGAATTCCCAGAATTCCCATTAATCCCATTAATCATTCCCGGAATTCCCGGAATTCCCGCTGATCCCAATCATTCCCGGAATTCTCATTAATCCCATTAATCCAAATCATTCCCGGAATTCCCATTAATCCCATTAATCCCATTAATCATTCCCAGAATTCCCATTAATCCCATTCATTCCCAATCATTCCCAGAATTCCCATTAATCCCATTAATCCCATTAATCATTCCCGGAATTCCCGGAATTCCCGCTGATCCCGCTGCTCTCCCCGGGCAGTTTCCCACCCCCGGCCGAGCTATTCCAGCCGCTCCCGCTGCAGCTCCGGCCCCGCATTCCCAGCGGGATCGGCCCCGGAATTCCCGGAATTCCCAGCGGGATCGGCCCCGGAATTCCCGGAATTCCCAGCGGGATCAGCCCCGGAATTCCCCAAGGGCAGCGCGGCCCCAACGGAGCCCCCACAGGTGGGTTGGGAATATCGGGAATGTCGGGATTGGGAACGTTGGGATTGGGAATGTTGGGAACTTTGGGAATATCAGGAATGGGAACTTTGGGATTGGGAATTTTGGGATTGGGAACTTTGGGAATGTTGGGATTGGGAATGTTGGGATTGGGAATGTCGGGATTGGGAACGTTGGGATTGGGAACGTTGGGAACTTTGGGAATATCAGGAATGGGAACTTTGGGATTGGGAATTTTGGGATTCAGGGTCTCCCTCCCCCCAATCCTCCCCAGAACATCGGGATCGGGATCCGAGGGGCCGGGAATGGGATTTGGGATTTGGGATCTGGGATCTGGGATTTGGGATCTGGGATTTGGGATTTGGGATTTGGGATCTGGGATTTGGGATCTGGGATCTGGGATTTGGGATCTGGGATTTGGGATCTGGGATTTGGGATCTGGGATCTGGGATCTGGGATTTGGGATTTGGGATCATTTCCCGTTTTCCCGCAGCTCCCCCAGCGGAGCCGGAAATCTCCGGGAGCAGCCGGACCCCGCCCCTCCCCCCAGCGCCCGCCGGGAATTCCCAAAAACCCCGGAATTCCCAAAAATCCCCAAAACCCTGAAAATCCCAAAAGTCCCGGAATTCCCAAAAATCCCCCAAATCCCCAGAACCCCGAAAATCCCAGAAATCCCGAAACCAAAACCCCCGAAATTCCCAAAAACCCTGAAATTCCCAAAAACCCCCAACATCCCAAAAACCCCAAAAATCCCAGAATTCCCAAAAATCCCAGAATTCCCAAAAATCCCAAAACCCCCCGGAACCCCAAACCCCCCGGAATTCCCGAGCCCCCCGGAATTCCCGAGCCCCCCGGAATTCCCGAGCCCCCCGGGCTCCGGAGCCGCCCGGGAGTTCGGGAAGCGCCGGGAAAGCTCCGCGGGAGCCGCCCCGAGGGAGCCAATTCCTGAAATTCCCGGAATTCCCAGAATTCCAGGTCGGGATTTGGGATCCCATCCCGGGAATCTTCACAATTCCCACTTTGGTGCCATTTTTCCCACTTTTTTTCCCGCCTTTTTCCCATTTTTTTCCCATTTTTCCCCATTTTTCCCATTTTTTCCCCATTTTTTTCCCCATTTTTTCCCATTTTTCCCATTTTTCCCCCATTTTTCCCCATTTTTCCCATTTTTTCCCCATTTTTTTCCCCATTTTTTCCCATTTTTCCCATTTTTCCCCCATTTTTCCCCATTTTTCCCATTTTTTCCCCATTTTTTTCCCCATTTTTTCCCATTTTTCCCATTTTTCCCCCATTTTTCCCCATTTTTCCCATTTTTTCCCCATTTTTTTCCCCATTTTTTCCCATTTTTTCCCATTTTTCCGCCCTTTCCCCGCATTTTTCCCACCGGGATTTTTGGGATTTGGTTTTGTTCCAATCCCGGAATTTTTCCCCCCTCCCCCTCCCCATTCCCGAAATTCCCGAAATTCCCGAAATTCCGGCCTCGCGCTGGCAGCGAGGGAAAAGCCGGGAATTGGGGGGGGAAATTTGGGATTTGGGGGATCCCAAAATCTGGGAATGTTCCCCCTGGAATTCGGGAATTTTCCCTTTGGAATTTGGGATTTTCCCCTTTGGAATTCAGGGATTTTTCCCTTTGGAATTTGGGATTTTTCCCTTTGGAATTCGGGAATTTCCCCTTTGGAATTCGGGAATTTCCCCTTTGGAATTTGGGAATTTCCCCTTTGGAATTCGGGAATTTCCCCTTTGGAATTTGGGAATTTCCCCTTTGGAATT